ATTTATACTGGCCGGTTGAATTGCAGGTATACCCTTGCGCCCAGTTGCCATGACGCAGGGGGGCCCGAGCGAGGCCTCTCTCAATCCGGCCTCCAGGTATTGTTGAACGACCCCAGATGCAGGCACTTTCACACGAGCAACCGAGGAAGTCGGCCACGTCGGCATCTTTGCCGACGTCCAATAGGGACTTTGTGATTTGGACAGGCTTCGAAAATCGGATCAGCCAAGACCCACTTGGACGAAGGCCCAAATGAGCACCTAGCTTCGAGTACCTTGGACCGAAATGGCCGGAGGCTGATTGGTTCTTGTATCCGACGCAGGCCGTCAGATTGCCGTAGCAACTGTCCTGGTGTTTGGATCAAGAATCCACCAGCTGCTGAGGGTGGAAGTGCTCTTTGATACGGGCGAAATACAGGAGAAATGTGCTGATATGCTGAAAAAGTGGGCTTTTTAGCGACTTGGTTACCAGAAATTTGCGAAATTGTCTCACATGAAGATTGTTCGAATTTTCGATGGAGTCCTGGAACCCTGATGAACCTGTGTCAAGCTTCCGTCTGTACCACCTTGACAGACGTCATCGGAGCAAGAATCCATACTTTACGAAATAGAGCAAAGCTATACAGAACCTTTTTTATTGTTCGAGTACATTTTTCCCTATTGTGTAAAGTATGAATTTTCACTCTGATGATGTCTGTCAGGGCAGTAGAGACGAAAGCTTGGCTTCGCGATAATCCTCCTTCTTTTTCGGGACTAAGAGTAAAGCAGTTATATGATACGTGTTCACCATAATTCGTTTAAGATGATGAAGGACTAGCAGCATAATTTTCCCACAATGATAAGAGTATAGCTGACGCTTCTATTGAATTTCACAGAGCCTTGCTTTCCCAAAAGCTGTGGACGGTAGTTTCGACATCGCATAAGTCTTATCAACACCCCCAGCGGGAGTTTCATATAACTGATTTACTGGCAGTATAGAAACTTTACTTACATACGAAAAATAGTAAAAATACCTTTGCTTAGTCGACAATCCCAGTAAATAATGTGATATGGCAAAAAGCCTGTGCATCCTTGAAATTCACATATGCCCGTTGACCCGAGGGAATCGTGGCAATGTGGCCGAGTGTTCAACGTGTCAAGCTCACATTCTGCACTGTCACGGTTCGACTCCCGCTGGGGATGCTGCCAAGACCTAATCAAGGTCGAAACTGCAGTCCACTCCTGTCTGGACGAGAACAACTTTTGGGAAAGCAAGGCTATGTGAAATTGAATGGAAACGCCAGCTCTACTCACATCATTGTGGGAAAATTCTACTACCAGTCCTGCATCACCTTACACGAATTAGGGTGAATACATCTCATATTAAGATAATTAACTAAATCTTTCTATATAAATTTATACCTAAATATTTTTTTAGCATATAGTGGGACAGAAACGGTCGATCAGCTTGCCTAAGAGTTAACTTGAGTCTTTTGCCAGTATTAGTCCCATCTTTGATGATGTTCCCCAAATGGCTTGGCTCGTTTTCATCCGAAATGCGAGGGATGAATGATGAACTACGT